TGAACTTGGGTTATAATTCAAACTAGAGTTGGGCTAACACAAATATTTGGATCAAAATTGAACAATTTACTTTAAATTTTACATATGGGCTAGGGGCAGGGCTGGGCTATAGCCCAACCTAGCCCCCCACTACCTCCACCTTTGGTAATATACTTGATTTCTTAGTAAGCTTTTTGTTATTGGATCTGTAATTTTTCCTTCATTTCACATAATCAATGGAAATAATAAAATTTAAGATCAACTGCTTTACGATATTGTGTCTATGATATGTATATCTACATTTACCATTATACATACTATTTTGAGCATTTCCAATAGTTGATTAACTGTTACAATGTATACCAATCGCATGTACAGACTTAGGCCAACATACAATTTAAGTATGAGATGCCAAATATATCCAAGTTTGAATAAGAGGATAATCATCACATTTATAGTAAAATAAGAATCAAAACATGAGTGATGAAATGACAAAAGTACAATCATTTGGATAAAATTTATATAAGTTCCAACCAATTATGCACATAGAATCATACGAGAACATTTAGTATGAATTCAATTTAGCCACCTACTTCAAATTCATCGATAATTCTCAAACCTCTTTGAATATATGAAAAATCTATCAAGTGTTAGATGTTTAGTGAGAATATTGGCCAATTGATTTTTCTTATTCACAAATTCTAATACAATATCCCACTTTTGAGTGTCTTTAGAATACCATAGACACGATGTCTTAATGTCATTAGGATATCAAAAATTCGTTTTATGGCATTAAAGTGTGATTCTTGAGTATTTGATTGAAATATAGCACATAATCACATACTAAACATCATATCGAGTTTACTTGCGATTAAATAAAGGAGAGATACGATTATACCTCAATATTTTTTTATATTTGGGGAAGTACCTTGATCATCTAGTTTGATTGATGAACTCATTAGAGTGTTCTTTGATTTTAACTCTTCCATTTCAAACTTATTGAGCATGTTCATGATTTACTTTGTTTGACTCCATTAGTTAGGAAGAATTTGAT